GGAGGAGGAGGAGGAGGAGGAGGAGGAGGAGAACTGTTGGGTCCTTGGTGCTTTCTGAGCTTGGAGTTTTCTTTCGTTTCATTACTCAATTAGGTAGCTAGCACCGATGAAAGAAAACTGATGACGTTACCTAGTTCGGTAAAGAAATGTCTGCAAGAAAACCACCAAGGATCCCCACACATCTGCAGGAGGGCCTTACTCGCTGAAACATCAACGGGGGGAGGGGGGGCATATCAACCCTCCTCTCTTACTCTCGATCCATTCTTCGCTTCTCCTAGACAGAATACGCTGTGCTGAGATACATTTCTGAGCTGAGGAGGATCTACACCTTCTACAGCAGCCTGGGCTATGACCACTCGCTGGACAACACCTTCCTGATGACCAAGCTTCAGTTCTGGAGGTTCTTGAAGGACTGCAGGTTTCACTACTGCAACCAGACCCTCGCTTCCATGGACCGCATTCTCAACGGTGCGTCTTTCTTGTGGCAAGGCCATGACTTTGTGATGGCTCTATATACCGGGGGTCCTGGTTTATCCCAAACTGTCATGCCCCTGTCCGAATCTGACAGCTGACAGGGAGTGGGAGCGTGGCTCCATTGGCTGGGGAAGAAACTGGGGAAGGGCACAGCCCGGCTGGGCTGAGCAGGGGAGATAGGTAGAGCAAGGCCATTTCAACCATTTCCCCAAACGGGATAATATTCCAGAGTCTTCCTTGTCCTTCAGCTCTAAGGTGAGTGGATCCATTTCTGTGCAATCTAAGATCTTTTTGGAGTACTAAACAATCTGTCGGTATAGTGACCATTTTCCAGGATTGTGCGAGTGCAATTCTCGCTGCTGTGGTTTATGTGTAAAATCAAATATTTTATCTTTTTTGGGGGGGTACGTTCCCTTAATAACCGCCAGAACAAACAGTTCTGGCTTCAATTCTATTCGGCATTTTGTAATTTCATACAACCATTTTTGTATTTTGGTCCAATATTTTTTAACTTCAGGGCAAAGTATATTTGTGTGTGTGTGTGTGTGATTTTAGGTCGTTGTTGACTCCTGGCGACTTTGACTTTTAACATGCCCAGCAACTGTGTCAATTGCTCACCCACATTTTTTGCATTTTACAAGATAATCAATCAATCCTTGAAGCATTCAAATGTAAATTTTCAGGCTCACACACACACACACACACACACACACACACACACACACAAACCTCTCTTACATTCTTTCCTTTCGGAATTTTTTTCTAAATGTTTTTAGGATTTAAATGCCTTTTTTTTTTTTTTTTGCAAGAAGGAATGAAAGAGAAAAAGGGTTCAAATGACAAAAGGTTGAAAGAAATAGAAACCGGAAGCAAGGAGCTGGAATCGGTAGAGAGATCAATACAGAAACAGATTTCTCTCTCTTTTTAAAAATTTCACATCCAAATCTCTGCAGGATTTGCAAAAACCAGTTGTGTGTTGTTGCTGTTTCTAAGCAGAAGATAATAAAACAACATGCAATCTTAAACTAAAGAGTTTCTGGTTTTTTGTTTTTTTTTAAGCGACAAGCTGTTGAAAGGAAACTTAACCGATCGGGAAGGCGTAGGGGGCGGAGCTATGCAAATCTAAAACCGACGGCCAGGGCAAAAAAGCCCCAAATTTGACATAATCAAGGGAAAAACGATAAATTCTGCAGATCCTCGTAACTGGAAGGACTTCGTTCTGGTGGGATTTGGAAAGGGCGTGTTTTTCAGAGGCTAATCCTGAGAGCAGGAACCGGCCAGACCTGCCTTTAGTACTTAGCCCGCACACAACTCCGATGCGGTCGCACAAACCTGTGATTTCAAGAGAAGGGAAGCCGTTGTGCATCCCTCTTTCCCTCAGGTATCGCTTCTCGGCCTTTTGGCTAAGATCAAGTGTAGTATCTGTTCTTATCAGTTTAATATCTGATATGTCCTCTATTTGAGGACTACATATTAAATGGATTTTTGCAACTGGGAGATGGAATAGGGGCTTGCTCCATCCACTCCACGCATTGACCTGGTATTGCAGTACTTCCAGGACCAGTGCACCCCCCCCCCAGTATGGTTCAAAATTAGATTTCGATGTTCTTGTGTTTTTTTTTTTGTTCTATGTTTTTTTCTGTTTGTTCCATTCTATAATGCATCTCTTGTTCTTCCTTCTCTTTTCTGCATTCAATGCTTTTCTTGTTCTTTCTTCCTATTTTCCCCTTTATTTCAGTTCCTTCCATTTTTTTTTCGTTCTGTATGTTCCATTCTATAATGCATCTCCTTCTGTTCTTCCTTACTTCTCTCTTCTTCGTTCAACGCTTTTCTTCTTCTCTCTTCCTATTTTCCTGCTAAGCTTTCTCCATTCACCTCTAACTCTTCTCCTTCTTGTTTTTTCCCCTTTATTTCAGTTCCTTCATTGTTTTTCCGTTCTATGTTTTTTTCTATTTGTTCCAT